GTCAGGTTTTTGGTGGATTTAATCAAGTCTTGGATTGCAGAGTATGAATGTCCTCTTGCTATTTTCAGTTGATAAATACTTGTGTAAAGTTTGTGAAGGCAGGAGGAAAGCTTCCGCGATCACCGTCTCCTCTCCGTTCCTCCAAACCCCGCCCCCTCCTGAAAAATAATGAGTGACAGGCTGATAGTGACCCGATAGAAACTTTATTATTCACTTAATCACTGATTGAGATGATGAAGCTAACTTAGTCTCATACATTCATGGGATTTATGTAACAGTAAGACAGAGAATAAGTGTGCACCCACATGCACAATACTCTTGCTGTCTGCTGTGTTCAGACTTAATTCATGTGTGTGATGCCTCATTCAAGACATTCAGTATCCTTTTCTTTAACAGAAGACCGTTGCTAGAAGCTGCAGCTAGACTGCAGAAGTATTCGTTTTTTGTTTTTGAGGATGGAACAATTTCACACACAGATATAGGGAGGCTAGACCTATACAGTTGATTTATTATGGTTTATAATTTCATGTCAAGACCAGTGGCGTTTTCTCCCGGAGGCCAAGGGAAGCCAGGCTTCCCCTGTTTTTTCGGATTGTAGTTATCATTTAAATAAATAAATAAAAACACTTTGTTTTGTTTCTGTAATTCTCCTTTGCTGTGTGTTGCTGCCGGCCCGTCTCTCCCCCATTCTCTTTGAGTATTTTACAAAGAGTGAAACAGCGCCCCTCTAGATGTTATGGTGAAACAGTAGATTGCATTCACTGTTGCGAGAGGAGGCCAGCAGAATCTAGCTTCCTTTGGTGAAAAAAAATTGAGGGATTAACCAATCAGATGAGGCCCACGTGATGCCCCTGCCAACCTGTGATTGGTCAGGGCCATGCCAGGGGAAGCCAGCCGCCTCTAGCTTCCCTTCAGGGGTGGCTGGCGGCTGGCGATTTGATTGGACACTGCCATCCAATCACATCAACATCAATTGTAATACTGTAACTGTCATCACCGCCGTTAGAAATTATCAAGCAAATGAAGCATTATGGAGGGAGGAGATTTGGCGTACTTAATTAAGCATAACTTCACTAAACTTCCGCTACAGCAGCAACTACAAATTAAAGCAGATGGCAGGACAACGCCCACACTCGAGCTGTGTACACAGAGGAATAAGGGATCTAATCGGACATTCAATGAGGACAATTATGTCCGCACGGAGTGGCTAACTGGAAGCGCTAAACTTCAGCGTCTATTTTGCTGGCCATGTCTTCTTTTTGACAAGGGTTCGTGCTCCCTGAACAATCCTTGGGCAACTTCAGGATTCATCGACCTTGCCAACCTGTCATGGGCAATTGAGAGGCACGGTAAATCTAAAAATCATATAGATTGTGCTGTGAAATTAAAGCTTTTTGGACGCGTCAGGATTGACGAGGCTCTGGATGTAGCAAGAACCATTAGCACAAAGAAGCACAACGAACAAGTAAAAAAGAACCGGGATATTCTGAGGAAACTCATCATTGCTGCCCTGTACCTTGCACGTCAAGAGCAAGCATTCAGGGGACACAATGAGGCCGCTGGCAGCTCTAACAGGGGCAATTTTGTAGAGCTGGTACGTGCATTTGCAGAGTTGGACACTGCACTCGCGGAGCACTTGGGATCGTCAACAGTCTTCAGCGGTATGTCAAACACCATACAAAATGACATAATTGAGAGCATAGCTCGTTGTATCCAGGATGAGACTGATAAAGAAATACACATTTCTCCTTTCATTGCTGTACAAGTGGATGACACATCAGACATCTCCAATAAGTGCCAACTCACTATCATAATCAGATATGTGAATGAAAAAGGCAGTGTGTGTGAACGTTTCCTCGGCTTTTTTGATGTCAGCTTAGAAAGAGATGCAAAAGCTGTAACATCAGTTGTCATGAGAGCCATCGGGAACTACAGCCCAACAAACAAACTGATTTGTCAGACTTATGACGGAGCAAGCTGCATGAGTGGACAGCACGGTGGCGTTCAGGCTTTAGTGAAAGCACACTGCCCCAATGCGCTATTCATCCACTGCTATGCTCACAAATTAAATTTGGTTTTAGCACAAGGCACAAACAACATCCAAGCAGCCAAACTGTTTTTTGCCAATCCCGATGCCTTCCACAATTTTTTCTCACGTTCATGTAAGAGATCAGCACTACTGTCTGAAGTTGATCGAGCTGTGCGTGTACCAGGGGGTTCTGCTGTGAGGTGGAATTTTAAAAGCCGCGCAGTACACGCCATCCATGAAGGACGCGGGTCGCTCTGTATCGCTTTTGACAGGATAATGACAGAGCCGGGATGGGACAAAGAGACCATTGCACAGAGTGCTTCCTTGAAGCAAAAACTTGAGGATTTTGATTTCACCTTCCTGCTCGGGGTCTTTCAGTCCATTTTCGGCCTCACAGAACCACTCTTCCAGGTTCTGCAAAGCAAGACGGCGGACATAAAAAAATGCCAGGATTGGATCATGAGCACTCTCAGCGCTCTCAAAGCCACAAGAACAGATGAGACATTCAGTCGCATTTACGATGACACGGTCAAAGCAGTCGGCGATCCTGTGCCCCGACGTAAACGACGTCGCCGCGGCTGGGACGACCTGGAGCAAGGGTTTAACCAGCACCAAGAAGGAGACGAGGAAACGGTTGTGTCTTTCCGGCGTCTTTACTTCCAGATTGTTGACGGCATAGTGTTGCACATGACCCAAAGATTTGCAGATATGGAGCCCCTGCACTTTTTTCGGATACTGGAACACACATCATTCACATCGTTCTGCAACCCTGATGCATTTCCCAGCAGTGAGCTGGCTCAGCTGATCAACACGTATCCATTCTTTGATGAGCAGAAGTTAAGGAATGAGCTGCACACGCTGTACAACAACAGGTTGTTTCACAAGCCACCAGGAGAGCTGATACAGCTTCTTATTGAGGATGACCTACAGGGCACACTCTCCGAGGTCTACAAGCTGCTCCAGCTCATGCTCACGATACCAGCCACCAGCACATCAGCAGAGCGCTCCTTTTCCTGTCTAAAAAGGATCAAAACGTATCTGAGGAACACGTGTGGACAGGACAGACTTGTCAACCTAGCCACAATATCCATTGACTCTGTTGTTGTGGAGGACCTAAAGGCCGCTGGGAAGTTCTATGACATTGTTATTGACCACTTCGCTACCATGAAAGACAGGAGAATGGCCTTCCTCTTCAAATAGGGTGAGTGAAATGCACACCCCTTTCTCTCTGTGCATACCTGTTGCCTGAACTGCCCGTGTAGCTATGTGTGCAATTTCTGATGTGGTTCTGTTGGTTATTGTGCATTGCTTGCCTGGATTTAGCTGCAGGTGTTCAGTCTGAAGTAGTTGTTTTATTGCAGTTGTTTAATTAGCACAGGGTGCTGCTATCCGAAAATCAGCACCGCAGATAGCATGCCATATAGGGCCCGATCACCTGAATAGATGAGATTGTTTATATTTTTGTGTTACTTTTGGACTACGGACTGAACTAATTATAGAGACGAGGACTGTTGCTGCACTTGCCGTGTGTGTTAGTGTAACAGATGTAAATATGCAGTGGGGTTTATTTTATTTAATTTTGTATAATCACACACATTCTGTGTTTTATATTATTGTATTCTGTGTTCTTCATTTTATTGAATGTTAAATACCTGGCAAGGTCGGAGAGCTGTGCTCAGGAGTTTATTGTTGTGAGGACTTTCATTTCCTTTCTTTGTGATTTTACTTTTTGTATATATTGTGTCCCTCACGTTTCCTCTTCCCTTTTTGTAAACGTTCCAAGCAATGAGAGGAGTCACTGAGGGAAATGTATGTAAAACTGATCATTTTATCTGTTATCAGATTCAGACATTAAACAGAGATCGTCTCAACTTTACGCTGACTCGGCGGGTCTCGTCCATTATCAACACAACGCATACTGATACTTTGATGTGAACGTAAAACTTTAAAGGTCTCCTGATTTAGTTTGTGAATGAATGCTTCTTATTTATTAATTACCGAATCTGCACTGCGCATTGAGCGGCTGGTATTGTATTGGTGGGGGGAGGTTGGCATAAATTAATAAGAAAATGCTTAAATTAATAAGACGAGAGAGTTTCAGCTGGAGAGTGCGTGCGGACCTGTCGCTTAGATAACAGGCGTGTACAAGTCCTGCATCTGTATGATACAAATGTGTGTAAAATGTTACCGGGCGCTGTAATCACTCATCTGGTTACGTTATTTAACTTAACTTAACATGTATAACATATGCACTCACAATATCTTACCCAAATAGACATTACATTACATTTAATTTGGCTGACGCTTTTATCCAAAGTGACTTACTATAAGTAATAGACGAACACACACATGTGAAGAGAGCCAGAGGAGCAGTCTGAGGACTGTGATTTTGTAAGGAGCCATGTACAGACAGATTGAAGCAGCCTGTTGACATCATGTAGTGCAGAGAGATATCATGTTAGAGCTAACTGTAAAAGTCAGTAAACACATGCTCAGACTGTTTATGGTGCCTGGGTATGTTTGGTATGAAATATCTAAAGCACTAGCATAAAAGACCAGAGAGCAGAGACTATAAGAAGTGTTTCCAGTGTGGCATCAGTCCATGCAGACAAACACCTGGTTCATTTGTACATAAAGGCATTTTAAAAATGTGGTTGAAAGAAACAGTACTGAACAAGAATAACAGCTATGATTCCATGTTTTTCTTTATTTTTAAATAGCAAATGTAGGATGGCAAAAGTCTCCCTGTATCTAACACAGATGTTTGCCTGGAAACATGAAAAGAGCTCAGGGAATGACATGCTACACACACTTCCTGCTGGAACTGCACAGGGACTTGTATGTTTTAAGAAAGTCTGAACACACACACGCACACAACACACATATGCGCACAAACAGACACACACACACACATATGCACGCACATAGACACACACGTGCACAAACACACACACACGGTGCGCACTCTTACCTGTAGCACCAGAGACTCCTTGTCTCCTTCTAGGCGGAGCAGTCGTTCTTGGTAGGTTTCATGGTTGGCTGAAGAACAGTGTTTCGCCTGAATAAAGGCACAGAAAAACAAAGAGATGAAGTCATTTCTGCTGGATCTTGTTGTTCATACTTGAATGAGTGACAAAGTTTGATTTCAAACAGTACCTTGAGTCAGGGCCGGACTGGGACAATAAGTCAGGCCGGGAATTATACACCCAGCCAGGCCACTACCAGTTGTCTTTCTTATTTACAGCGTTGCTGCCCATAGTGATAGCCCTACACTTTAAATCTACTACCCCAGAATAAACATATGGACATGGGTCACTATTTTAAAAAAAATTGCAAATCTATTTAGGAACCTGTCCATGTGAACATATTTTAAGTGGAGGTGGACCTCAAATCCTCTAACAGGATCATTTTTTAAATGTTGGACTTAAATGCATCAATCTGGTGCACTTTGAGGGGGAAATAAAGAGACAACACCCATATGAAACAGTGGCGTTTTCTCCCGGAGGCCAAGGGAAGCCAGGCTTCCCCTGTTTTTTCGGATTGTAGTTAGAATTTAAATAAATAAATAAAAACACTTTGTTTTGTTTCGATAATTTTCCTTTGCTGTGTGTTGCTGCCGGCCCGTCTCTCCCCCATTCTCATTGAGTATTTTACAAAGAGTGAAACAGCGCCCCTCTAGATGTTATGGTGAAACAGTAGATTGCACTCTCTGTTGCGAGAGGAGGCCAGCCGAATCTGGCTTCCTTTGGTGAAAAAAAATGGAGGGATTGACCAATCAGATGAGGCCCACGTGATGCCCCTGCCAACCTGTGATTGGTCAGGGCCATGCCAAGGGAAGCCAGCCGCCTCTTGCTTCCCTTCAGAGGCGGCTGGCGATTTGATTGGACACTGCCATCCAATCAAATCACATCAACATCAGTTTTAATACTGTAACTGTCATCACCGCCGTTAGAAATTATCAAGCAAATGAAGCATTATGGAGGGAGGAGATTTGGCGTACTTAATCAAACATAACTTTACTAAACTTCCGCTACAGCAGCAACTGAAAATTAAATCAGATGACAGGCCAATGCCCGCACTCGAGCTGTGTACACAGAGGAAAAAGGGAGAGAATCGGACGTTCAATGAGGATAATTATGTCCGCACGGAGTGGCTAACTGGAAGCGCTAAACTTCAGCGTCTATTTTGCTGGCCATGTCTTCTTTTTGACAAGGATTCGTGCTCCCTGAACAATCCTTGGGCAACTTCAGGATTCATCAACCTGTCACAGGCAATTGAGAGGCACGGTAAATCCAAAAATCACATAGATTGTGTGATTGTCTGCATTAAATTAATAAGGAGAGAGTTTCAGCTGGAGAGTGCGTGCGGACCTTTCGGTTGCACACAGGCGTGTGCAAGTCCTGCATCTGTGTGATACAAATGTGTGTAAAATGATACCGGGCGCTGCTCATCTGGTTACGTTATTGACCACCCCCCCCCCAAAAAAATGGGCTTCCCCTACATTTTTCCCCACGCCACGCTACTGATATGAAACAGAACTGTATACATTTAAATAATCATAAAATCATAAGTACATGGCCATAACCAATAACATACCATATCCAATATGAAAAAACATTGAAACTTGTTTATTTATTTGTTTTTGGTTCATTTATAGTTGTGAGTGTGTCTGGCCTCCTGAACCAGCCTCACCCGTCTCCCCCCTCTCCCCCTGCTCCTCTTTGAGGCAGCAGCAAAGACTAGTTTTAGCTCTCAACAAGTTTTATAAAGTTTATCTTACCTTTTTTCACCTAGTTAACATTTTATTTTTTATTATTCACGCATATTTTACTAATCACTCCCCCTTCAAATGGAAATATGTGTTTACATAAATGGTGACCAAACCGTTTGAGACCCACAGAGAACTTAGACTAAGTTAACTATCTAAACACTCAGAGAGTCCTTTACCTCACCTGAGCTGTAGTTATCAGTCTGACAGGAGAGGACTCTCCTCCACCTTGTTGACAGCTCATTATATTCGTTAGCGCAGCTAGCTAGCACCAGATGCTAACAACAACAATACACATAACCGGTGCACGCGCTCTCTCGCTCGCTCGCGCCACACATACACACCCTCCCGAGCTTAATGACACACAGAGACCAATCGAGGGCATTAGTGTATGATCTGTATGAAAGTGGCCATGTCGGCAGGCCACATCATGTAGACAGCCAGTCACCCTCTGTGAGGCAGAGTCAGACCCACATTTGCGCAGCGTTGCGTTCACAATACATACATTAAAAAAATGAATTCCTCAGGCCAGCAGGCCACTTAACAAGCCAGGCCATCGGGAAACCTCCCGGTTCTCCCGATGGCCAGTCCGGGCCTGCCTTGAGTAACTACACTTTTGACAGAGGTTTAAATCCTTATGCCAAAACCCATACAAGTGTATGCTTTTTTGGCAGTATTCAACAAATGTTGCAAATAAGAACAACTCCTTTTAAAATGTGCAAAAAATATCAATGCAATCAAAGTTGTAAATGCAAACAATTGTGTTGGTATACCATTACTACGGAGCCCCTAAAGCAGGGGTCACCAACCTTTTTAGGATGAGAGCTACTTTCAAAAAATAAAACAAATCGGGGGCTACTTTTACTCCTCTTTTTTTTTGTTTTTTGCAGTGTATATATTTAGCACATTGTAACATTATTATATGCTGACCTTTAACCTCTGTGTGCTGTTTGGGTCTGTGGGACCCGTTTGCAGTGTTTACTAAAATAAAATGTATTACATTTAATTATTTTAACCTGCTTTATTTGGGGGTGGACCTCACATCCTCTAGGGGGTGGACCTCACATCCCCTAGGGGGGGACCTCACCTCCTCTAGGGGAGGGACCTCACATCCTCTAGGGGGGGACCTCACATCCTCCAGGGGGGGACCTCACATCCTCTAGGGGGGGCCTCACATCCTCTAGGGGGGGGACCTCACATCCTCTAGGGTGGGGGACCTCACATCCATTTTTTTTTAATGTTGAAGTGAAATGCATCAATCTGGTGCACTTTGAGCACAACATGAATTGATGGATACAGCTCTCAACACTCAGATGAAAGATCTTTAGAATATGATCAAAAAACTACAAAAAAATATATCCGACAGCGCCAAAAATATGTGATGTGACCTTTGGCAGGAATATTCCGCCATGGTTGTGCTGAGGATGTTATATATATATGTAAGTAGATATATAATTGGTGTAAGCTAGCTCCTGCAGTATGCTTCATAACTATGGGATTAGTTTTGTATCATAAAGATAAAGCAACACTTTCTCAGAATCAAGCAAAACTAAGGGTTTAAGAGAAAAAAAACTGAGTCAAGCAAAATAAATCTAATTTAAAAAAAAAAACTATAAGTTGCAAACAAATCATTTGTGTAATCATGTAAACTATAAGTATTTTTTATTTTGCTCTCGCTCCAGCTCTTCTCGTTTGCGCTCCTTCACTTTTTGTTTGAGATTCTGACACAAACATCTCAGGTGGGCGGGACTTTCAGGGGTGTATCCCCATTGGCTACTCAGTTTTTGAGTGACAGCCCACTACACCACAGAGCATACAGTACAACTCATGCAGCAAACTCCGGAGTCCACTCGGCCACGTTAGTGTTGGTGTCTCCTGGGGAGTTTCATGAACATATCGGACTTCTCTTATGGATTGCTGTGCATTAGACTTGTGTTGTGTAGTTTATACTTTATTCCAACTTGTAATATTTTAATAACTGAACACACTTTTTATTTTATAGATAAAAAAACACATCTATGTATTTTCAAGCTAAAGGTGATTATAGATTATTGCTCCTCCAGAGAGCCTCGGTCGAAGTGCATTTAGAGAAATGAGATGTCCTTCAACATGGCGCGCTGAAATCCATTTCCGGGTCACTACCGGAGGACCGAGGATTCGAGGAGTCGAGGAGGGGAAATTAGTGAAATGAGAAGGCCCAAGGTCGTTTCTAGTTCCTTTCCAACGTTTCTAGAACTTCTCCCATATTTTATTAAAGATATCAGACTTTCCCTTTAAAGCATATGTGAATTTCTCTAAGGCCAGACAATGAAAGATATTATTTTGTTAATGTAGTCTGGTATCGGATCGCAAGAAACACCGCTGTCATCAGACTGGCTGTTACTGGCTCTTCTCCACCCCCTCTGTTTAAATGGACTCAGTAGCGCCCCCTGCTGCTGTGGAGAATAACTCAGGTCATTGTGAGAAAATCCTCAGCACAACCATGGCGGAATATTCCTGCCAAAAGTCACGTGTTTTTTTTTGTACTCGTAGAAAATATGTTTGTGTACTTCCATGCTGTATTTGTTTCTGAAACATAATTTACTAGAAATGTAATGTGTTTGTTTGATAGATATGTTTTGTACTTGCTAAACAAAATGCATTAGTTTGTATGGTGTTTTGTATTTGCAAACCACACTGTGTTTGTTAGTGAATCATAGGCTGTTTGTAAAACATGTTTAGTTTGTTTGTGGAGTTATGGCAGGAAATTAGCACCATACGGCTGCTTCACGTAAAGTGTTGGTCTGTTGTGATACACATTTTTTACAAAGCACATGATGAAGAGTAATGAAAGATCATCTGACTTATCTGACTCCCATTCATCCAGAATTAGAACAGCTATAAATGAAAATGTTTTACTGAAACTCATGTGATGATTTTTTTAGGCTACAACCTAGTGGGAGAAAGCTGTGTCAGGTCCTGCCATTACATAGAAATGCTGTGTGCACATCTTGCTTGGTCAGAAGCTCTATAGCGTCAGTTGTGTAGGTCCTAGCTATTAAGGTTATTGGAGAATTATAATGTCAACGACTCAGGAAATAAAAATGGAGATCGAAGCAGAACTATCTATCTTACTATCTGTAGGTTAACCAGTGACCCCAATCACCCCAGCCACAAACTGTTCTGTCTGCTGCCGTCTGGCAGGCGGTACCGCAGCATCAGGACTAAAACCACCAGACTCTGGGACAGCTTCATTCCACAGGCCATATGACTGCTAAACACCTGAGCTTGCACTATTTTAATTTGTATTG